ACTTCTTGCTACAATAGGTATATTGAATTGGCTTTCACTCGGACCTCCCAAGCCGCGGATAGAGTTGGATAGAGAGAGTTTGCTAGCAATAGACAGCAGGAATCGAGTCGAAAAAAGCGGCCTGGATTGAGGCTTCCGGGTTTTCACGGGTGTGGGGATTCACTCTGCATCGGCAGGGAAATTGTGAGACTCTGTTGATTTTGTTTTGGAGACTGTATCCAAACAACCAGAGGAGATGTTCGATTGGCCCTAATTACAGCCATTGGCAGTAGTTCCTCGATGCGACACCTGAAACCACAACTCTGAGCTGGGCGCTTGTGTTAAGTCGAGTGTGAGTTTCCAGTGCCACCCACGTATTTGCCTGGGAGCTTCTGACTGGAATGGCGAAGAATAGCTTGTCCAGTTGTTGAGATTCTTGGGTTTTGTTATTTGTTATTGGGACTGTGTGGAGCGATATGGAACCTTGAAGAGTAATACCATGGCAGAATGAAACATATTGGAGCACATACAGTAATCACTACTATCTTCATGAGCAGTAGCCTGAACCAACTATAGACATTGCAACCCTCGGTAGGCAACAACCCGAGCTTTGCTCATTGGATGTTCATGGTGTCATGCGTGTGACCATGTTCCTATATAGCTCATATAACTTTTGATTTGGTTCAAGCGCATGGAGGTGCCACAAAGAAGTCCTCCTCTTTTCAACATCCTCAGTCATTAAAAAAAGAAAACATACTGTATATTTAAAGTCCTATGTTTGACATCTATGTTTTTTTTCAAGCCATGGACAACAAATAGACGCCCAGCTTAGGTCCCATGTGTTTGTTCCCATGTGCTGGCAGCTATTCTTGGAACAACCAACATGGTCCAAGGCAATCACAGGTCGACCCGGTCTCGTCTCTGTTCGACCTGTCACAGACATCGATCTCGCCCCTTCGGGTCTTCCACTCGCGGTTTTGGCCTCGGTGATACCGTCCCGAGCTGGCTCCGTTATGCTTTATCCTCCGAGTCGGGAGGTTTGTTAGTAGCTGCGCTGGCTCCGTTAGCTCCGGAGGTTTGGGACGAACTCTGGGTCCGGACTGGAGGTCTCCCCTGGTAATCGACCGACCAGTTCCCCATCCACCGACCAGTCAAGTGACCAGTGGCATCGGCCGAGCGCCACCGTCTTCGTCTCCATGGGGCCTCAGTCCTGTGCGGCTCCCCTTGGTCCGGGCGGTTCTTCTGGCCAGGCGCCAGTGGAATGGGGTGGACATGTCCCGTTTTGATAGCAGTTGTGATTGAAGAATTGAGTCTACAGGATGCTAGGTTGTGGTTCCCTAGTTGTGAGGGGAGACTGGGGATTCCTATTCTATCATATTCTATCCATAAATGTTTGTGTCTAATTATGAGAGAAACCTTAGGCAAAGGCACTTAAGGGGTCATGTGTCACGTTTTCTTTAAGATTTGCTCGGAGGACCGTTCAACCACCGACTTGGAAATCCCTAGGATCTTGAATGACATGGCACGCGCGATGTCCAGTCCCATGTCCAATTGGAAGGTGGAACTGCGAGAAGGATATGTATATATACTGTGTGTGTCCAATTCAAACAAGTTGCTGCCGTTTTGTGCCCGACGCAGCCCAAAAATATCCAAAAGAATCCGCGTTACCATTTCCACTATGAAATGCAGGGCCTTATATAAGGCCTCCCCAAAAAGCACGTTTGTAGTAAAATCCTTTTTGGGCATGTCCGAGTATTTTGTAGGGACCCATTTTGTATTGGGAATGAGTGATCTGGAGGTCTGGAAGGCATTTTGTAAGACAGGACTTCTGAGCGCAAGCAGAGGTATGCACCCCATTCTGTAGTAGAATCCACTGGCATAGATAGCATCCGAAAATTGCGGCTGCCACCCAACAGTTACAGTTGATGACAAGTGTATACAATACAGTGTACCATATTTGGTATGGCGCACGACCTTTTTGTCGACATGTTCGACCCATCTAAGCCAACCATCTCTTGAGGCCGTCCGTTGACTGGCTTTGACCACTTAGAAGTGGAAACAAAACTCTGCTGATGCCTTGAGCAAAGTTGAATCGCTTGACTCATGCGAGCGTGTTGAAAACTAGAGGTGAGGACCCCATTTTGTAGAGACCAAGTTTCATTGTCGATCATGACTTGTGACTGTGCTGAGTTCTGGACCTCATTTTGTAGTAAAGTGTTTGTTTTCTTGTCTGGGACATGGGGTTTCCATGCCCGAGACCCTGAGCCCCACATGCAAGCATTCTGTAGAGAATAAGCCTTTCATATCTACAAAGGGAGGCGACATGACCTCACCATGTTCCATGCACGTCGGGATCCAAAAGACTCATCTTTCCGGATCAGTTAAAGTATGCTGTTGCACTTGCGCAACTTCATGGTGGGTAACCTATTAAAAAGTCGGGAGGTTAGAACATGTTATAACTGAGGATTGGTGACAAAAAAGGCTTGGGGGTTAAAGACAAGAGGTTGTGGCTTAAAAAGGGGACGGTGGTTAAACAAAATGGTTGGGGTGTTAACAAACGGGTTGTGAGGTTAGAAGAAAGGGGTGGGAGGTTAAAAACAAGGGTTGTAAGGTCAAAACACGTGTTGGGAGGTTAAAGACAAAGGTTGGGGGTTAAACACACATGATTGGGAGGTTAAGAAAGTGTGTATATAGGTTTAAAGAAAGTGTTGGGGGGTTGAACAAAGTGTTGCCCTAAGTGGGGCCACTCCTTAAGTCTTTGCCAAAGCATGCAAAGGCATGGAAATACGCGACGTACTGCAGACCAGCCATTGGCTTCCCCAAAAGTGCATTGCCTTGTGCAAGGTTCGGGGCCAGTTTTGTTGCCACAAAACCATTGAAAGTTTGGTTTCGTCGCTGTGGGCCCTTAATGTATGTATAATACCATAAAAAATTGATGCCCAATGCTTCAAAGGTATGTTTTTAAATCGTGCGTTGTTGCAAGAGCTTTTTTTGCGGAAAAGCGTTTTTTTGTTGTGTGAAATCCACTTCCTCTCGATTGACCTGTGATCGGGTTGTTCATATATGCTGTGTGAGGCCAGGTTCCATGCCTCTTCCACGGCAAAAAACGGTCGTTCTACGCCAAAAAATGTCCCTTCTACGGTTTTGTCTACGGTTTGTTTACGGTTCTTGAGCTGGGCCGGAGGCAAGGAAAAGCCGGCAAGAAAATAGTCCTTGTTTTGAAAAAAGACATGCTTTCCGGGAAGGCTATTTAATTAGTCGATGAAGCCCAGGGGATGGGGAGATCCATCCATCCGACGGCAGGTATGGCCTCGCAACTGCGATTTGCGCACCCAGGCTCGGGTCCCGCAAAGCGGGTCGGTCTTTTTCTTTGAATAAACGTGCGAATGGTTTTTCAATCATGTGGCCCCTTGACTCTGTGAAGGAAGGACACGCAGAGGTGAGGTGAAGTGAGAAATAATGTTCGATCTTGGATGGTAAACGAATTATAGGATTCAACATTAATTACATAGGATAGAGTGGAACAGGCAAAAGTAGACAGGTTTGCTCCCAAGTTCCCATCATCCATCGCCAGGCCCGGTGGCGTGTTTGCGCTTTATCGTGCTGGAGAAGCGGCCGCCAGATCTGTGGGTGGCCGTCCAAAACTTAGTGAGTCCTGAAAAGGGGTTCTGGACATGAAAACAGAAAGCGCCTTGAATGAACGGCCCTTGTTGAGCTTGAAGACACACGAAGTGCATAACAAATCAATTTATGGATTCCTCATGAACGTTCTTCGGTGAGATGTTTGGGGTATTTTTAGGAGACCCGTTGGTGAATGAACCGTTGGAACGTCTCACGCCATCGTATAGAACCCCGGCGGGTCGCCCTGGCCGCACTTTCCATTGGGTCAATGTGGACAAGAATTCGTGTCCCATGGTGCGATTGAGGATGGCCGTTCTAACCTTTGTATACCATTCCCTATAGGGCTCCAAGTACTTTCTAAGAAGGTGGGACTGGGGTGGGTGCAGCGTCCAAATACCATTTGAGGAGGTACTTGGAGCCCTATGGATTGTAATGCTTGAGTTGACATGCTCTTGAATCTGGATGGGTTTGTTGATGTTTGTCGTGGGTATGCGTAGCGTTGGCGCTTCGGAACGGTGTTATCGCATTGTTGATGGTGTGAGGCCAGCCCGACATATCAAAGACCAGCTGCCTCCCATTGCCACATTGCCCAGTAACAGAGCAAACACACAGTTTTGTGGTTTGAATTTATTGCTTTAAAATTGGAAACCAAGTATATACATCCAAATGCCTTGACCCCGAACCACGTAGCCTGCTGTGAGGATGAGACGGCTAGCGCCCTGCTCTTGGATGCACCCTGCTCAGGGGTTGAAGAAGGTCGGGCCCATGCCTGAGGGGCATTCAGACCTGGTCAGGTAGACCAGCATTCTTTGCTTGAAACATCAAGGCAACCCTATAGCCCTATAGGTACTTCTGCCGGCCCCAATCTTGAGACGTGATTGTGGTGCTCAATAGTATCATTAAGCCCTGTATAGTTGCATGTTTTTGGATGACCGATGCAGTCGTTTCGGCCGCAAGGGTACTGACATAGGATGGAGCAACCACGTCGCCAGTGACCAGCCGTTTTTGTTGGGGGTGACAACCGATCCAACATCTTCAGTTTGAGTCGAAAACACAGAAAGGACTGTCTTCAGGGTGGAGGCCATCCCTTCTAGGTTGAAGGCCGTCGCTTCTAGGTTGAAGGCCGTCGCTTCTAGTTTGGAGGCCATCGA